AACAAAAACCACTTCTTTTTATAAGTACAATAAAACCCGAAAACTAATTAATAAAACTACAGGAGAAACTTAATTTCTTTGGTAAAAGTCGTTATTTTAAACAAGGGACACAAACGTAAATTTTTTGCTCAACCCATATACGTTTTGTACTGTTTGCGCAGTAAGACTTTGTCATTCGGCGTTTATATGATTGAAAAAATGTGCAGATCTATGTAAAAATGGATGTGGCTGACTGTTTACTGACGAAATTGAGTGGAAACTCTCGCAAAACAGAGAAATTGAAGTGAAACTGTCACTCGTGATTGTAAATCTAACACTCAGTTAAGTAATACAAAAGCCCTTCTTCGTCGAAACCCCACAAAAATAAGTGTAACGGAGTCAATTTACATTGCCGAGACGGCTGGTATTACGGTTAACGAATTTGGCTCGCAAAAGATCAAAAGGCGTGTCCAGTAGCATTTTCAAAGAACAGTGAGTCAATGATGCTTACGCCGAAAAATCCAAATAAAACTGTCACTCTTTGAGGAGGCATTTGCTTTTCGATGATCACGTGCCTGTTTTCCAATATTGGGCGATAAATATGATTTTTCGAGCAAAATCGTTGTCCATTTCTGTTAAGATTTATAGCGGTTAAGAGTTGTCACTGTCAGTATAACGTATAATTAAAAAAATGCTATACAGTTGGATCTCAAAGTATGATATATCGATGCTTTTGTCTCCAGGGGACAGTTTCGAAAACATTTTTTTGCCGAACGTAGGAGTCGCGTTTTTGAGATTTTCGTTATATCTTCGGCCTTTGCAGTCGGACCGGATCGATGTTATTATCTCCAGGAGACGATTTCTTTTTGTTCCAAATTTCACTGACATCGAGGACCCTGGTACATACCCAGGAGATCTTACTTGTTATCACCATAACTTCCACGCTAATATAAGTAAAACCCCACCAAGAATGACAAAACTTTTGCTAAGCAAGTATTTCGATTATACTTATATTTAGTTCTCACCAAAAAATGTTATGTACTTTACACTCAGTGGTGTACGACGAACTTGTATTTGCTTGCTTGTAAGGTGGTACGGTCTAATGTGAATACATATTTAATTTAATTTTTCTTCTCTGCATTGGAAGGTTTCTGGCTATAAGCGATTTATTCGCTAACACTTTACATTTCAAATGTGCATTTACTTAATTTTGTCTGAAGAGCTTTCAGCGCATTACTTTTACGAGCGGTAAAGTGTAAATAAGTGAGTTCTAATTCAAAAAAAAAATAATAATAATAATTTACTTCACTTGCTTTGGTGTACCCTATACAGTGTTACCGTATGCATAACATGTTTTTATAGATTAACAGACATCTTCCAGACACCATCATCAAACTTCTGTTTTACGAGTGTGAGTGAACATGAAGAAATATTCTAGACTAACATATCGTCGGTCCCTACGAAGAGTAGCACATTTCACTATTCGCGTGGAAGACTAGCACATTTCACTATTAGCGTGGAAGACTAGCACATTTCATTATTCGCGTCGAAAAGTAGCACTTTTCAGATTTTTGCGTGGAAGAGTAGCACATTTCGTTATTTGCGTGGAAGACTAGTACATTTCAGATTTTTGCGTGGAAGACTAGCACATTTCAGATTTTTGCGTGGAAGAGTAG